TGGCCTGAAAAGGAGCGAACAAGAGCAGGACGTGAGCCGGTGCTAATGATAAGGAACAGCTCAGATGACGAAGAGTCAGCAGAAGGCAGTGAAGGTCCACCGACTCCGAAACGTATTAGGATTGACGAGGATGGACTAATTACAGAAGCTGTTCTTGCCTACGCTGTTAGTGTTGACGATGGAACGGACCTACTACCTACGTATGCACAAGCAATGGCAAGCGATGATGCGATGAAATGGCGTGAAGCAATGGGTGCTGAGCTTCGCTCTCATTAAGAAAATCGAACGTGGACAAAAGCCACGAGGAATGATCAAGCGCACAATTAGATCACGATGGGTATTTGCCAAGAAGCGTGATCAAAATGGCGATGTCGTACGATACAAGGCACGACTTGTCACGAAAGGATTCAAGCAAAAGCATGGCGTCGACTTATTCTCCGGTCGCCAACATATATTCAATCCAAACAATTCTCGCAGTATGTGCTGAATGCGACTATCAAATGGATCAGCTGGACGTCGGCACGGCTTTTCTCAACAGCGTATTGACGGACAACGCTTTTATGGAAACCCCGCTAGGTGTCAACAATGATCAAGGATACATATGTCAACAAAACAAGGCTATCTACGGACTGAAACAATCAACACGTGCTTGGAACAAGAGGATTCATTGTGTCTTCGTGAGGCATTGCTTTAAGAATTGCGGGGCAGATCCATGTGTTTATTTCAAGAGCACCAATAAAGGGTTAGTCTACGTTGGACTATATGTGGATGACATGATTATCGCTGCAAGCACCAGCAAGGAAATAAATCAAGTCAAGGGCGTACTCAAGAATGCATTTAAGATGAAAGAGTTGGGTAAGACAGAATTTATTTTGGGTATGGATCACGACAGGTCAGCTGGAACTTTGATGATCAAGCAGACTCGCTACATCGGCGACGTGGTCAAGCGATCCGGTAAACAAAATGCTAAAAGCGTGGATAACCCATGGGCATCATTATTGAAGCTGTTGCCAAAGCAGACACCAACAACGGAAGAGGAACGGTCGGGAATGCAATTTAAGCCTAATCGCTTATTAATTGGATACTTGCTGTACATAACGGCATGTACTGGACGGGATATTGCGTACGTGGTAACACAGCTATGACGATTTTTGGAGAACCCGAAAGTACACCATTGAAGCGCAGCAATTCGAGTGGTAAGGTACTAGAAGACTACGAGCCAAATCGGGATCGTCTACCGAGGGAGTGGGAGCGTTGCGGTCAAGGCATATTCGGATGCAGATTGGGGCAGCAATGCCGATGACAGACGGTTAGTTTTGGGAGTTATCTTTATGATTGCGAGCGCACCAATGGTATTCAAATCAAAATATCATTGGACGACTGCGTTCAGTTCAGCGGAAGCTGAGTATGTGGCTATCAGCCTTTACACACAGGTAGTTCTTTGGACGCGGGCAATGCTAAGAGACATGGACACGAGCAATTTGAAAAAACAGGGTTTGGGAAGCCAAACAAGGCGCGATCGCGTCAGCCAATAATGCTGGATACCACGCGAAGACGAAGCATGTGGATATCAAGCACCACTTTATTCGGCGGAACGTACAAGGAGGACTGTTGAAGATCGACTATATTGACACGAAGAGTCAGCTTGCGGATATGCTAACGAGGGCACTTAGAACCAAGATGCTCGAATATCAGCGCAAAGCCTCCGGAATCAAGGTCAACTCAGCGACAAAGCACACGCAGCATTAGCGGTGAGTGGGAGAGTTGTGATTACACCGCTGAATGCATGCTGAACAAGCAGATGACGTCACCATATTTACGAGCACGTCACAGTAAATAATTACATAATGGTTGGCGTTCATTGGTCGATATAAATCAGGACGCTTATCGAAGCTTCTAGAAGGATCTAGAAAGACAGACTTAGAGGTGGCACAGAGTAGCGAACTAAGAACCTAAATATACCCACTTCGGTTCTTATTTTCTACTCAACATCGACCTACTATGCGCGGAGAGAGAACCTCATGACAGCATACTCATCAGACGATTAATATGGCTAGCAAACCTGATAGTAAGAAATGTGTCACAGAAGGGGTACATACATTTTTGAGTTCATAGAAATTAAAAAAAAATATCGGCTACAACTAACGGATTTTTACGAATAGTGATCGGTCTTTTATTTATTAGTAGCCTCAAGAAA